TATGTTTATCCTTTTAGAGGAGTACTATTCTTTACATTTTCCACAGCAATCCATTTAAAGCTACAGTGCATCATTTATTGTAATTTCACTTGCTGTTCACATCAAAATACCAATGATACTATATTAGTGTCCACAGCAATGGACAGTACGGTTAGTTTGTTGTAAGCAAACATTACAGTTATTTTGTATTTCGATTTGCTGATGGCATCAAAAGAAAATAATTAAATTAAAGCAAACAAACTGCCATTTAGATTTTATTTTGAAGTGGTATTAATGGAGAACAGGCTTTTTGGTCACATAATGTTACAGTTATGTTAGTTAGATTTTATCCATAACAATTTGATTGGACTGTTGGCTATGACATTATTGCCTAATATTACTTTTAAATATTTATATCTAATCATTTTTGTTAATACACTACCATTTATTTTTTTTTAAAGAAATTAATGAATTGATCAAAAATGATAGTAAAGATATTTATAATGTCAATTTATAAGATGGAAAAACATATATATCATTGTTTCCACAAATATATTAAGCAGCACAGTTGTTTTCAACATTGATAATGATAATAAATCTTTATTGAGCACCAAATCAGTATACTAAAATGATTTCTGAAGGACTATGTGACACTGAAAACTGGAGTAATGATGCTGAAAATTCAGCTTTACCATCACAGGAAATATTAAAATAGAAATCCGTTATTAATTGAAATAATATTTCACAATAATACTGTTTTTACTGTACTTTTGCACAAATAAATGCAGCCATAAAAGACTTCTTACAAAAACATAAAAAAAAAATCTTACCAACCCTAAAGTGTTACCAACCCTTTTAACTGTAGGGAATATTATAAAAACATTAAATAATTTTTTATCTCTTCTTTAATTATGTTATAAGAAAAGAAAAGTTGGTTCAGAGAAGGAAAAAAAAAAATTAAGGAACTTTGCTGCCGTACCATGAGCGCCTGAAAATAGTCCCCAGCACGCTCCCTGTGCAAGCAGGTGGTCACGTTGGTTATGTTGACGGAAGTTAGCCTATTTTCAGGCACTGCGTAATATCATTGTGCCTGCTGCACCCATGGTTTGGCAGCAAAGTTCCTTGATTATTACGCCGGAATGAGAGTATAGCTCCTAGCCATATCGGCCTAGAAAATCACAACTTTTCATTTTCCGTCGGTCTTAGTACACGATGTAACTACAGAAGAGTCAAGTTTTAAATAGGAAAAATATAGAAACTCTTTGGTCATTTTTGAGCGGGATGCTAACGGTCTAATCAGATTCAATGATCTATGCTAAGCTACAGCTAAAAGTGCTACCGCCAGACCCGGAGATCGGCTGAATCGATTCGAAAACGGTAAAACTCAACTGTTTAACTCTAGGGGAGTTGGAAAATGAGCCTATTTTCAAAAATAGTGGAGTGTTCCTTTAAACCTGCTCATAAGTAAGCTTGCCTTACATACTGGTAAGTCAGTCTGGTATTGTTGAGACTCAATTTCTCACATAAACACAGAAAATGCACACAAACAAATGGCTGGAATTGAAGCATACGAGTATTTACTTTTCCAAGGTCATTGTGAGGCCTTGCATGCTGCGCGGGTGCAGAGAGAGGCGCTGAGGCAACAGTCTCTTGTGGAAAGTGTTGAGGGTGCTGTAGTGTTCCTCCAGAGGCAGAGCTGGACCCATCCGCTCGATGTGGATCACCTGAATCCCTCCCAACAGGTGACTGATGCGCTCTTTCAGCCAGTCCGACTGCTGGAACAGGCTTCGGTAACTCAGCAATCTTTCAAAGAGCTGAGCATACACATGGACAGACACAAACACATGCATCTTAGTCAGCAAAAATGTTTATGTTTTTTTTTAAAGCTAAGAATACCATAAGACTGGTTTAATAGATGAGCTGTACCTTTGTCCATTGATGGTGGACATCCATTGTTCCTAACATAACATGCCCTGAGGCATTCATCCCTGACTGGTCAGTAAAAACTATTGTGTGTCCTATGTTTTGGAAAAGAAACAAAATTAAGCAAATATTACGCCATCTAATTCCATCTCATGAATCTCATTTCCATGGTTACCTCTCAGGATGTGCAGAGCCTCAGGGCTTTGTGTGAAGAGACGACCCAGACTCTGCAGCTGACTGCATTTGTGTGCAAATCCCCATTTGCGCTGCCACCTACAGGACAGAGAACCACATGATCAAAGTGAATATACTGACAACAGGATGCAAGAACTCGATACTCTGTCCAATAGTTTTACACATGCAGACAGAAGTTTAAAAGTATGGGGTTGGTAAATTTTTTTTTTATGTTTTTGAAGTCTCCAAGGCTGCATTTGATCCAAAATACAGAAAAATACTGTGAAAATATTGTGAAATTTTCTGTTTTAATATATTTTAATATGTAATTTCTACCTGCTGGATTTTCAGCATCATTACTATAGTATTCAGTGTCACATGATTCAGAAATCATTCTAATATCGTGATATAGTACTCAAGTAACACTATTATCTTCAATGTTGAAAGCAGTTGTACGGCTTAATACTTTTGTGAAAACCATGACACTTTTTTTTCAGGATTCTCTGATGAATAAGTTGAAAAGATCAGCATGCATTTGAAATAGATTTTTTTTCTGTAACATTATAAACTGTCACATTTGATCAGTTTAATGTGTCCTTGCTGAACAGAATAAAACATTTTTCCCAATTTTAAATATCACAGAGGCTTGGCCTTGGGCCATTTTTACTTGTCCTCTGCACAGACTTTTTATATTTCTTTCCATAATAATATTGTGTTAAATCCTTTCTATAATAAATTTAAAGTCAAAGAAAATCTATTAAGTAACTTTAAAAACGATTTATAAAAATCCAATTTTCAACCCATTTGGTACATATAGCCTATGTGCACCATTTGTAATATATGCAGTTTCACTAATTTTTTCAATTTCCCTTAATATTCTGAGAACAGTTTGAAGTTTAATTTGAGAATATATTGAATAAAAAATGGAAAGATTTATCATTTCACAAAACAAACAAACACCACAGCATAAGATACAATCAAAATATCATTTGAAGGTTAATTAATGCCAAAAGTAAGATTTAGCAGACTATTAGAGCATATAGTCTGACTTAGAGCTGACCTGATATCCAACAAACCAAGTTTCTGAATCAGCTCTCTTTTCAGTCTTCTCAGCTCCTCACGGCGTGGAACACTGGCATTCTGTTTCTTTGTGGCTTCTGGCTCATTGTTTCTCAGCCATAAACTGAATATAAAGACAAGTAAAAAAGCAAAACAATGTTTAAAATCTGACAGTAGGTTAAATGAAACATATATCCAAGATTCATTAAAGAATAGTGCCAGTGAAATATGCCTGATATAATATACCTTTGTTCATATATTACATATAGTATTGTCTTTCATGTGTATTCTATATTAGGTCTCCAAAACCCTTTCTAAAGATGTTATAAAGCACAAAGTTCTTCCACTCAAATGGGTCAGGGAGTTCACAGTAGTCGGGTTAAGGTTTAACCAATTCCAATATCAACAGGCCACACAAAACTACAGCAAACAATAATCAAGCTCAGGTTTAACCCTGTAAAGTTTAACATATGAAATAATAAAGGAAATCACTTAAAAAAAAAAAAAAATGGAACAGTTTATTTACCCTTTCTTGAAACTAAATATTAAAAAAAAAAATTATAAAACACACACAATTCACAAAACTGAGCAAAAATATGCAATTTGACGCAGTTGCTGATATTTCTATGACCAACAACTAAGATGAAATTTTGATAGCGTGTAATGTAAATCAATGAAATAGTATAACAGACTACTTGCATTAAATGTGTATAGTTTTACTCTCTCTATATCTCCCAACAACATGTCTTAGAAAGATATTTAAATGCTTAGTTTTGTGATCAAAGCTCTGTAGTGTTACAATGATAACTGTACAAAAGAGGTCCCCCAAAGCCTGATGCATCATTTTTAATACTCACATTTTGACAATTTTTCTAAAAAATAGTGCAAGTAAACCCAAGTTGCTACAGTCTAGTAAGTGTTCATCTTGAAATACTACTCCATAAATACTTCATAGTAATCAGATTCTCTTATTCATAAAAAGGAATTTGAAGCAAAAAGACACATGTTCCAGTAACTTGAAAGGAGTTTAGAATTATACGAAAAAATATTATTTTACTTGCTAAAAAAGTATAAACATGTAATAGATTGTGCACAACAGTTTTTTCAGCAAAGGTTTGACCATGTTAATAGTAATCAAACATGAAACAGTAAGCTTTAAAGGGGTTGAATGTGTACCAAGGTTTTCAATGAATTTCCACAGCCTCAGTATTTCCAAAGCTTAAATCTCAGGCTATGAGGCCCACTGAAGGGTTTCTGTTGAGCCTGGGCTCATCTGTGGTACAATGTACACACATTACCCCTTGTACTAAATGGCACAAAAATCATTGTGGAGTCATTAATCATAGTAAATACAAAGAATGGCTTGAGAACATTGCAGTCTGTGGAGAAGTACAAGGCTAATTGTAGAAACACAAACAAGTTTTCTGGTGTGACACTAAAAGTGCCAGCTGGGCTCTTTCTGGCCGCTGTGATACACACACCGGTGTCTCAACAGTCCTACAAAATTTCAAGTTGAATATTAACCATACTTTTGTGTAGAGACCTTGTCTAGCAGTTAGGAGGTCTAACACTAAGCTATGGTGTTCATATGGGTTACATGAGTTTGAATCTGGCCTAAAATATTTCCAGTTTTCATTTCCTCATCCTTTCGCCTTCTATCAAGTCAAGTCTGCTTTATTGTCAATTCTTCTACATGTACAGCACATACATACAGAGAATTGAAATTGCGTTACTCTCAGACCCTTGGTGCATACAGATAACACTAACAGTAGAACATAAAATACAGATAGATACAGATTAAATATAAAATAAAATAAAATACAACTATACAAATAAGGTAATGTAAAATAAATGAATAAATAAAGCAGCACAAGGCACATGGCAGATAGAGTGCAAACCAGTGAAGTAAACAAACAGTGCAGATATAATGATTGTAATGCAAAAAGAGCTTATTTTGATTAGTGACAAAAAGCTCAGAGCAGTTATTTAAACTGTCAGAAGAGGTAGTTGAATGAGGTTAGTTCAATGCTGAATGAGGTAGTGAGCAGACCAATGCTGCACAAAGTGAGGTTCAGAGTTCAGTGGTGCATGGGGCAAAAGAGGGGGGGGGGGCAAGGTTGGGAGGGAGTTCAGCTTCCTGACAGCCTGATGAATGAAGCTGTCCTTCAGTCTACTGGTCCTGGCCTGGAGACTCCGCAGTCTCCTCCCTGATGGCAGCAGACTAAAGAAGCTGTGTGTCGGGTGGGTGGGATCACCTGCAATGCAGAGGGCTTTGCGGGTGAGACGGGTTCCATAAATATCCTGGAGGGAGGGTAGAGAGACACCAACGATCTTCTCAGCTGCTCTCACTATACGTTAAAGTGACTTGCGGCAGGACGCATTGCAGGCGCCATACCACACACTGATGCAGCTCGTCAGAATGCTCTCGATGGTGCCTCTGTAGAAGGTGCACATGATGGAGGCCGGGGCTCTGACTCTTCTCAGTTTGCGGAGGAAGTAGAGATGCTGCTGTGCTTTCTTGGCCAGTGCTGCGGTGTTGTCAGTCCAGAAGAGGTCCTCTGTGATGTGCACACCAAGGAACTTGGTGCTGCTCACTCTCTCCACAGTCGCACCATTGACGGTCAGAGTAGCATGCTGAGTGTGCACTCTCCTGAAATCAACAACAATCTCCTTCGTCTTCTCCACATTCAGAGAGAGATTGTTGTCACTGCACCACCCGGCCAGGCGGCTCACCTCGCTCCTCTAGTTTGTCTCATCTCTGTTGCTAGTGAGACCCACCACAGTCGTGTCATCCGCAAACTTAATGAAGAGGTTGGAGTTGTGTGATGGTGTGCAGTCGTGTGTCAGCAGAGTGAAGAAGAGGGGGCTCAGCACACATCCTTGGGGGGGCCCCAGTGTTCAGTGTGATGGTGCTGGATGTGTTACTGCCAACCCATACTGCCTGAGGTCTCCCAGTCAGGAAGTCCAATAGCCAATTGCACAGCGAAGTGTTGAGCCCCAGCTGGACCAGTTTGTGAATGAGCTGTTGAGGGATGATTGTGTTGAATGCTGAACTGAAGTCTATGAACAGCATTCTGACGTATGAGTTTTTTTGTCCAGATGTGAGAGTGCTGAGTGGAGGGCAGTGGCGATGGCGTCATCGGTCGAGAGGTTGGACCGATATGCAAACTGGAAGGGGTCCAGGGAAGGGGGGAGGGCAGACTTGATGTGGTGCATGACTAGCCATTCAAATCACTTCATGAGAATAGGACTGCGTCATCACCTGGTCGCCGGGAGGAGGTGGAGTCTTCTGTGCAGTGGTGTGGTTTTGTGCCTCAAAGCGAGCGAAGAAGGCGTTCAGCTTGTTCAGCAGGGAGATGTTGCTGTCACATGTCCGCGGTGGGGGCTTGTAGTCCGTAATGGTCTGTATCCCCTGCCACAGGCTCCGAGT